CGATGGCCGTGATGGCCACGCGCCACTTGCGCCGCCAGACGTCGCGCCGCGCGTCCGAGTCCAGCGACGGCGCGTTCGACGCCGCGTCCGAGGCGTCGTCGTCGAGGGGCGCGCTGTCGATGCGCGCGAGGGGCGCCCGCGTCGTGGCCACGGTCTTCAGCTCGCGCCGCTCGCGCCGCGCGGCGACGAGGACGACGTCCGCGCGGAGCGCGCGGTAGCCCCTGAGCACGAACTGCGCGTGCGACACCCGCTGCCCGCCGCGGCGGTCCGGGTCCAGGACCTCGAAGGCCACGTCCGCCGCCGTGCGCGACCGCCCGGGGCAGAGCTCCGAATAAAACGCGAACCAGCCGTCGCGGTCCAGGTCCTCGTCCGTCCGGCCCCGGGAGATCGCGTGGAACGCCGCGTCCAGCGCGTGGAACCGCCGGACCTTCTCGTCCTCGACGCGCGCGACGTGGCCCTCGTGCCAGGCGTCGTAGACCGACCCGAGCATGAAGTTGACGACGACGTAGACCATGACCACGATGTAGGCCGTGAAGTACGCGATCGCCGCGAAGACGACGGCGCGGCGGTCGACGTCGCCGCCGAAGACGCTGCGGTGCGACTTCCTCCGGCCCCGGCCGCAGTCCACGGCGGGCCACATGACGAAGGGCGCGTTCTCCGTCGTGCTGAGCACGAACAAGGTCAGCGCCGACCGCGCGAGCGTCGCGAAGGCGCCGTCGAACTCCACCTGTGTGGAAATCAACCACTGGTTTGGGGGGTCCCCACCAAACTTCAGAACTCTCTATCTCGGTCAAATCGAAGTCGATTTGGCTGACTTTTGGACGAATCGATTGCTCTCATCGAGTTCTCGAAGCACAGCAGAAAAACTTGCGTCGAAACGGTCGCGTACGCGCACATTGAAGTCGGGTTGAAGATTTGATTTCCACACAGAACTCCACGCCGAGCTCGCCGCCGTCGTCCGCGCCGTCGTCGTCCGCGTACATGCGCGAGTCGTAGCAGTCGGCCCAGAGCAACACGCCCAGCTGGGCGAAGAGGAGGAGCACGGACACAAAAACGGCGATGACGCCCAGAAACGTCGCGCCGTGGGACCGCCACGCGCCGACGACGTTGCGCAGCGGCGGAAACTCCGTCCAGATGAGCACGACGGGCGCGAAGGTCAGGAGCGCCGTCCGCGCGAAGGCGTTGGCGAAGAGGACCGTCAACGCGATGAGGCGGAGGAGCAGGCGCGTGCTGACGACGTCGCGCGAGCCGCCGACGCGCATGCGGAGCTCGCCGGCGTAGTCGCACGCTAGAAGCGCGACGACGCCGACCATGACGCCGTTCGTGCGGTCCGTCGTCGCTCGCCGCGACTCGTCGGCCGTCAGGTCGCCGAGGCCCGACTCCACGGTGAAGGGCGCGAGCGCCGCGGCGAAGACGACGAGGCAGCCGACGCCGAAGCGGTAGAGGGACGACCGGTTGCAGCGGATGATCTTCGACTGGTCGCTGGCGTGGAGCGTGAGGCGCAGCGGCTGGTCCGTGTCCAGCGCCGACGCCGCGTACTGGATCGCGCGCAGGAGCCGCTCGTCGCGCGGCGCCGCCGTCATCGTGGGCGCTTGTCTCAGACCATCGAATCGAGGGGCAGCCTCGCTTCAAGGCGAGGTGCAACCAAAATTAGCCCCCGGCGCCCTCCTCCTCCAGCGCCGCGTGGCAGGCCCGCGTCGCGCCGTCGCCGAGGGGCAGCGCGGGCACGGCGAGGTCCCGCGTCGGCGCGAGGTGGCGGTCGCCCGGGCCCGGGCGCGCGGGAATCGGGCCGTCGCGGTCGCGGTCGTCGTGCGTGAACGTCATGGCGCCGAACTCGGACTCGGCGTGGATGGCGAGCTTGCAGGGCAGGCGGCTCGCGTAGGTCCGCCGCCGGTCCAGGGTCCATTTCTCGCTGCGCTTCTTGTCGAGCATGTCCTGCGCGTAGCCGGGAACGCGGC